GTGTGTGTGTGTGTGTGTGTGTGTGTGTGTGTGTCCCTTTCTGGCTAACATGAATTTAGCAGCTTCCCATCCCTGTGCCTTCCACCATGATCCTGCTTCACCTTTGGCCCAGAGCAATGAAGTCCACCTACCATAGACTTAATCTCTGGAACCATGAGCTAAAATAAACTTTCCCTCCTAAGTTGTTCATGTGGGATAAGTTGACTAACACAGGGAGGAACTGGGAACAAAATTGACCAAATTACTGTTATAATGTATGCATGTACGAATATTTAGCAGCCAATTCCACTACTGTGTAATTAAAATGCACCAATTAAAAAAGGAAGAAAGAGGGCTGGGTTTGTGGCTCAGAGGCAGAGTGCTTGCTTGGAATGGGTAAGGCACCTGGTTCGATTCTCAGCACCACATGAATAAATAAACAAACAAATAAATAAATAAAGGTTCATTGACAACTGAATATATTTTTGTAAAAAAGGAAGAAAGAAAACACTATACCAGTGAAACATTAGTGTGTCCAGAATGGCAAACCCATGGAGAAAGAAATCCAGGAGACCAGAGGTCACCTGTATGGATAAGAAGTGGACCAGTGGTCACCCTTGGGGTGAACCAGTCTTCCTCCATGGGGACAGAAAGTGGGCTAGTGGTCACCTGTGGAAGCAGTAAGTGGACCAGTTTCCCCTACATTGATATGGGAAATGAACTGGTGTCACCCTTGGAGATAGGAAGTGGACCTGGTTACCCTTGGTACTGGACCAGTGATCAGAGGAGACTGGAAGTGACTGGCGGTCACCCAGAAAGTGGACCAGTAGAGATGGTAAGTGACCAGAGGTCAACCCAGGACATGAACTGGTGAGTTCACCCACCAGGAGATAGGAAGAGGACTGGAGATGGAAGCAGGAAGTGGACCTCGGTCACCCAGCATTTGGAGAATGGGGGACTGCTTTTTAGGAAAGAAGCTGCTTAATTTGGGTGAACGTAATCAAACATTAGATGGTGGTGATGGCAGTGCAGCATGAACATCCCAGAAACACAGAATTGCACACTTTGAACCCATTCTTCTGCTTGTGAATTATCTCCTGGAGGCTGTTAAAATCAGTTCCATGGGCTGGAGTTGTGGCTCAGTGGTAGAGTGCTTGCCTAGCTCTGTGAGGCCCTGGGTTTGATTTTCAGCACTGCTTATAAATAAATAAAAGGTCTGTTGACAACTAAAAAAATGTTAAAAGAAAAAAAAAAGCAGTTCCATTGTGCAGGGTCCTTTTTATATGTACACCCACGCCCCACCCCACTCCCCGCCCCGCGCCCAGGCCCATGTTTTACCTGTGAGGGCTGTGAAGAGGACGCTGGTTCTGGAGGGCGAGGGACAGAGCAGCTGCTCTTGGGTGCTGGCAGTGGGCCAGCCCACTCTGCGGAGGCTCCAGGCCAACATCCTGTCCAACCGCGTCTGGTTTCTCTTTGAAGGTGGCTGTGAGCAAGCGGGGGAGGTCTGGGGAGAAAAGGTTGCCTCTGCCCAGGAGTGAGTGGCAAGGAGGCCAAGCCTGTTTCCCTGTTTCAGGGACCTGGACTGTCGCAGGCCAGCTTAAGCAAAGAGAGGGAAATCATCGGGGAGAGAGAGGACTCCTGGCTGAAGCCCTTCAAGGCCCCTGGGAGAGTGTCCTAATTTCTAGAGACGGGAGGTACTGGGCGTTGTCGCCCACAGCTGGTGAGGCAGTGTGCCTGTCATCAGCCCACGGGCACGAAACCAGTCCGGCAGCCTGCCTTCCTTCCTGAGAGTCCTGGGACCTTGCCTTTCCTTTAGTCTCACTGCAAGGACAGCCAGCTTGGTGCTTATGGCAGGGCCACTGCCAATTGCAGGGCCAGCCTCACTGTAGGGTGCTGGACATGGAAGGGTGGTTTCCCTGGAACACGAGGCTGCTCACTCGCTGCTGGCATCCCACGCCTGTGCGGACAGGGCCCGCTTAGTTCCCAGTACCTAGTGGGAATCCCATGCCAGCGGGATTCAGTAAGACCCAGTCTCCAACTACAGTCCGAAACGCCGTGGAGGCCAGCAGCTTGGCACATGTGCCTCACGCGGCCATCCCTTTGGAATTATGGACAGTTAAACCGGACCTCTGGCTCCACCTCCATGTACTTCTCGCCTGGAGCCAGTTGTCCGGGCTCCAGGGCCGCACAGTTCCAGGGCCCTGTGGCCCTCTTGGGTGGCCTTTCATTTAGACCAGACTGGGGGAGTCAACTGGCCTCTGTCATGCACATTGTGCACAGCCTCTGAAAGCAGAGACCTAAAAGGGAGCTCTGCAGGTGGGCTCTAAGTTGATCTGACTGGGACCACCCTGTGGAAACCTGGGGTCCAGGATCCCTCTCTGAGCTAGGAACAGAGGAAAAACGGGGTTCTGACTGGAGGAGGGTGGGTTGGGGTCATGAGAGTAACCCAGCTTGGAAGCCATTGGATCAGAACTGATTCAAGGGAGGTTCTAGAAGTGTTGCAGGGGGTGGAAAAGTCTTAAATGTGGCCTTGGCAATGGGTGGCTGAGCTGGGCAGACAGGCTCTGGGGGGGCACAGGGCCAGTTGAGACCCAGGAGATTGAAATAGCGCATGGTAGTACAGCTCAATCACCTGCAGACCCCAGGCTCCTGGGTGCGCTGGAGCCCACTCACCCAGAACCTGAGCAGACCAAGCAGGCCTCAGACTCTGGGCCAGGGTGGATGGTGGTGTGAGGCTGGGGGCTCAGCCTTGGTGTGTGTGGATGTGTCCTCAAGTGCTGCTGAATTCCAATCATCAGGACACAACTCGTCGGAGACAGACAAGAGTGTTCAGTTTTCTTGGTAGGTAGGAAAGACTTCCCTGGAAGAGATGTGGAATGCCATCTCTGGAACAGGAACTAGGGCTTGCTGTTCACATAAGTCTGGACGATGAATGGCCCATGTGAAGCAAATGTTGTTACTCACTGTATGACGTGGGGAATAAGATCAAAGCACGGGCCGGGGGCTGGGGATGTGGCTCAAGTGGTAGCGTGCTCGCCTGGCATGCGTGAGGCACTGGGTTCGATTCTCGGCACCACATAAAAATATAATAAAGTTATTGTGTCCACCTAAAACTAAAAAATAAATATTAAAAAAAAGCAGAGGCCCAGGAAGGGGCCCCAAGACAGCATGGAGGTCCCACTCC